ACCCCTCGCCAACCCTTACCTAATATTAATTAAATATTAAAAAACATATAAACACACCTGGCTTTAGCCATCCCCTTAGAATGGTAATTTTACTGGCCTCATAGGAGGATATTCGTCTGATTGGCGAAATAGATGCTATTAATAATGTATTGGGTTTATTAATAATGAATACCACTTTTACTTCACTTATGTGTATCGATCTATCTTATATATATTTGAAATAAATTAATTCTTTCGTATATTTATTAATTTATAAACTTCATACGAAGTTTTTTTATTTTCTAGTATATAGTATTAAAGCGATGAATTTTTTAATTTTATTGGTTAATTATCATGGGTGATCACAGGTAGATCTATAAAAATTAGCCAATCAAACGAACTTCTTTCTATGAATTTAGTACTACAAAAAATATGCATGCTTACGCGTTTGTGTTATATGATAATCGTCATGTGCTCTGGACACACAATACTACGCATTAGCCTAGTTTATTTGATGAGCGGTCACATGAGTTATTATGTCCGTTGGGGCGCAGTAATTCTTGCACAGTAAGCGACTTATCTCTATTCAATATTATCAGGTTTAAAAATAAATTTAGTAGAAAAAGACCTTTGGCAAGAGCTTTTACCAAATATCTCTGTGATGATTGATCTTATATGACCGAACTATACTATAATTGCGAACTTGAATTTATTGCTTGAACTGTTGCAGATAAGACAATATTCTGTTCCATTTCTATACCATTCGCCATGCAATCCATAATTCTCATGTTTTCTATCACAAGTAGGGTATGGCGAATTCCATGGCTAAGCAAATACAAAATTATAGTTATCAATCTCTCTAAAACTATTTCAGAATTTCAAGTATGACACGTATTTGGTAATTAACTCTGAATCAGGTTTGGCTTCGAACATGATAGGTCTTTTTTTTCATCGGAGAAGCAAAAATTCTTGAATGCTTTAGGCCCTATGCATTTTTATGCTGAAATGAAAAATCATATATTAAAGTCAACAGATGCTAATAAATTAAGTAATGAAAAAAATTACATATATAAGATATGTATGTATATTAAACACATAGATATTAAGTTATATATTATGAATTGATTATAGGTCAAAAACTTTAAACGCTTGATTAACGAAGTCTTTAATTTTTTGTATTCTTTCCAGAATGACCTTTTCTAGATTTTCATCATACCACACTTCAAGTAGGAAAATTCCATTAAGTTGACAAAGGCATCTATTCTTCTGATCATGATCAACAATATCCTCAAATCTTTTGATATCCTTATACCAGCTAGTGCTATGAAGCTGATGTTGACTTCCTTGCACCTCCAATACGATTTGATATTTTTGAAAGAAAGCATCAAGTTCCAATCCGTTCAAGAAAGGAGGACGATATTCAATTATTGGTTTTTCATTAAGAATGTCCACAGCTATTTGAATATATTTAGCTTGAAATTTGTGATTTTTCTTGTTAAAGACAGTTACAAGGTGGCTATATTCTGATTTCTTCGCAAATTCTTCTATAATTGGTCTTAATATTGCATTCTTTGCTTTAAGCTCAAGAATTGTCATCTTAATACGCTTAAAGAGGATTGGATACCGCAAACCAGTTTTTAATTTTACTATATCAGCCTTATTTTTAGTATATTTTTCTATAATTTGGTTTAAAAGTTTAGTATTCTCAGTCTTAAGCTTTGCAGTCTCATCCTTAAGCTTTATATATTTTGCAT